GAATGAGTGTCCTGGAGAAGGGGGCAGTGACCAAGCCCAGGTCTGAGCCCCAGCCCTGCCCCTGCTCCCCTGGGCCAGAGTGAGCCTGGCACGGTGCTCACACACCCACAGTACAGCAACTCCAGCAGTGTCAGCAGCAGGGATGGTGTTGGGTGTATTAGATCTGAGGCTTTACTGGAGAAAAAAAGGGAGTTACTGCCTTAAAACTCAGTAAAAAGGCATTATTGCACAGCAGTTAATGGTGATTTCTCATTTTGCCACAGCCACCTCCAAGTCAGTTGACTCTGGCAGCGCAATCCCATCGTCCCACCTGATGTCATGCTAGCTGTTTTGCCAGCACAGAAATTAGAGGCTTGCAGCAGCAGCTCCCAAGGCGGCTGTTTCAGCACACGCCCTGTTTTGCTGCTGCGAGCCCAGGTACTGACGGCATTGGTGGCTACCGAACCAGCAGCACTGGCCCCCAGAACCAACTCTGGTTCAACCCCACCAGCCCAGGGACTCGGGCTCCATCAGGTAGTCACATGAGAGCTGCACAGTATGGGCAACAGGAACACTCATCTGGCCAGTTCCTCAAGCCTGCCAGGACACAGGGTAACAAGGAGGTCAGGGCCAGGACAAGGGTTTTTAAGCCCTTTTCAAATACTGTGCGATACTTTCCAGGCCTGCCAGAACTCTGCAGCGTGGTTTTCTCTGGAATTCAGCCCTGCCGGGACAGGCACCTGACAAGCTGTATGGACTGATGTTACTGAGCTACATACAGAACAAAGCAAGAGGGAAACATTAAACATTTACATGTTTATTATAATTACAATTTACATTACTCCAAAGAGCAGCCCCACTGCTATGTTCTAATTCTTAGCAATAAAGTCCTACAAAAATAAATCCAAGCTTTTACAGTAACCTAGGTCAATGCAGAACTAAAAAATTCTAGCTATGTAAGGGGTTCAGTCATCAAGGTGCTTTTTCAACAAAATTCCCTACCAACCAAAAAGGGACACATGCCTATAGCAGTTCAACCCACATATTCATGCAAACAAATGTAACCCCCCCTCCCAGCCCCTCTCCCCACATACAGATTTTTTTAAAAACAAAAGAAAAACAACTAAACTATTTACAGTATGGGGGTACAGAGGAAACAAATGAAACATGCCCATCTGTTAAGCTTCATTATATGGACTCCCATCCCGAGTTTAATGAAAACATTCCCTAGTGTTCCACCACAGTCTACTAGTGTACAGAGAACTGTTCACACTGGTACTATGAGTGAGGTACAAACTGAGGCAAGAAGTCAGAGATTCAGATTTCCTTCCCAGACAGTCAACGACTGCCAAAAACTCTTTATTCTGAGTGCATGAGCGGAGACACCTGCCGCTCCTGTCCCGCCGAGGACACAGCAGTGTCCCCCACACTGCCCTGACCCGGTAAGAGCTCCCAGCCTCTGAGGAGCAGCCAGCACCCTCCAGCTCGAGGGAGTCACTGCTCCTGGGAACCTGCAGTACCTCCATGTTAGTACCAGCCAACAAACAGCTGTACAGTCAGTTACACTACTACATGATCAACAATCCAGTATCCCAAGTGACAATATACAGAACTCCTCAGCACCAGGAATCCATTCTTCCAGATACCAAGTGCTACTTCACACCTGCTGCCGGGAACAGTGAGACCAGCAGCACCAAAGAATCCGTTTGGTTACTCAGAACAAACAAATTAGAGCTGGTTTATTTCAAGTGAGCTTTGGTTCCGTGTTAAAAGACCATGATTTATCTTCTTCAGGGTTCAGAAAAGGAGTCTGACTTTAAGCTTAGACTACAGCAGCCTTTGAGAGACCCAGAAAGAAGAACCATGTAAGTTAGTCTGCACTTAAAAAAAAAAAAAACAACACACACAAACAAAAAAGACACCCTGAAGAAGGTACCCCTGAACACATTCCCTCTTCCAAAGAATATTCCAGCTGACAGCTGCTGGTCCAAAATAAGTCCAGAACATAAGCAGTAGTACATGAAGTTCTGTCACTTGAGCTGAGACAGTAAACAATATGAACCATTTTCCCACATTAGTGCAGCAGTTGGTTGTTTTCTTCTATGTACAGTTTCATCCTCTCAGGAGAGATGTCAGAACCTACTCAGAAAAAAAGGCAGAATGAGATTTGATACCATGGAGATCCTCCCCCAAGAAAAAAAAAAGCAGCAAAGTTCAAACTCATGTTATCAACTGACATGCTTGGCTAGAAAGCCTCAAACAAGCAGCTCTTGCTTTCTCAGACAGAAAGCTAGCCCAAGAAATCAACAGAACAATCAACACATTCAAGAACACATTAAAGCCACTCATCTTTCCTTCTAGCTCTTAGAAGGTTCGACCAGATACAATAAGGAACAATTCTTGATATATCCAGGAGACTGGAGAACAAAAGAGGCTGCACAGACAGTTCAGGCAAGGAGTAAGAGACAAACCTGTCTCAGACAGTATTTATTCTTGCTAAAAAACTTGCCTCTGAGGTTACACTCTGCCAGTACCAGCTCTGTGAGTGGTTTGGTTTCGCCTTGCTGCTCCACTACCCCTTCCACCTCGAAATCCACCACGAAAGCTGCGGCCACGAAGGAATCGTCCAGACACTCCAAACGTCTCTGTGTTGAGCTTCCTCTCTTCAGCCCATGTGGTACGCCTAGAACTGAACAAGACTGCATTCAGATTTAATACAAACATTAAACAGCCACCAACGCATTTAGCTAGAAAGCTTCAAGCACCCTGTTTTGTTGAACTAAACTGCAACGAGAACAGGCTGCAGCGTACACATGCTCACTAACTCAATTCCTCTGCTCAGCATGGATTTGAAAGTGGCAGCTGTTGAGCTCTGTAAGCTGCTTTCATACTGGACAACTAAAGATGGGCCTAGAAAGGGTTGAACACTGTCTCGCTAGCATTTCAAACCTAGTCTTGTTTTCTTGAAAAATACAAACTCTGGACTCCAGTGAAGCCTCTTCAGAAACCTGGGGAGCCCTGTCACAGCTGAGGGTCAGCAGGCTGCTACCGAGGCAGCTCCACAGCAGTGTCCTTCCTCTGCAGAGCCTGCCCAGCCCTGAACGTTTACAGTGAGCACTTGGAAGAAAGCTTTGCGGAAGGGAAGCAGAAACATTACCAGGAGAATTTCACATACTGACACTAAAGGGATTCCTGACTTCCCCAGGCCATTGATAACATCAGTGTCAGCAGCAAAAGATGAAACTTCCTTTTAATATGCCCAACATTTAAATTAATGTATTTCCCCAGACAGACCTGACCTCCTCTCTGCCCAAACTCCAGGCTTAGCTTGCTCCTGTCTGCAAGTTGCACTGTCTTCAGCACAGCATGACCCTGATGCCTCCTCCCACAAAAGAGATAAGAAATTTTGTTTAAAAATGAGTTCCAAGTCAGTACTGGGAAACAGAACTGGAAATTCCTGTATCATAGTTTAGGCAAGTGTATCAGTTGAAATCCTTGGTTTTTGTTTGATCCCACTGCATGAAGCTCAGTTAATATCACTCGTGAGCCACTGAATGCACAGCAATACTCCCTTCTAGAGACTGTTTTGCTAACTTTCTTGCATTCTAAGATTTCTAAAGAATTAAACCATGTGACAGATTATGTCTAGAATTCTATGCCCCAAATTGCATTAAAAAAAAGCAAGCTTTTAGAAAATAGTCACCTAGATTTCAGCTCTGAAGAAATGTTGTCAAAGAAAGACTTGGATTTATCATAATAGCAGTTGGGTCCCAGAAGGTCCTCCTCTGCATTACCGTCATTGTTTTGAGTTGCCACTCCAGGGTCCCCTTTTTCTTCCCCCATCTCTGCTTTGTCATCTGAAGATAATAAGAAGTATTACACTTCCTTGATGCATACTGAAGAGCCATCTGTTCTCTTGCTCCCTCAAACAAGATTTGAGATGCTGCCACATTGAATCATGCAGATTCTCAGAACGAGTTTGTCTATGCAGTGTTTACTACTAGCTCAGCAATTCATATTTAATGAAGTCACAAACCTTTAAAGTTTAGTTTCTTCTTGAATTCTTTATCAAGTTCCTCTCTGTTGAATTGTGCATTTGCACTTTCAAAGTCAAAGTCACCTTCAAACTTTATTGTATTTTCCTTCACAGTAGCTGGTCTGTTTTGTCCTCTAGAACGGTTTCTGGTTCTCCTGTTTCCTGAAAGCAGGAGAGTTTAAACACTCGGTAACGCACAGGGAGGTTACATGACTTGCTCAAGACCAGAGGAAACCAAGGTTAGAACTCAGGAGTTTCTGGCTTCCAGTCCTGTGGTTAGGCCACATTTCTTTGAAAGTAACTTCTGCACTTGGCTGTAGAAGATACATTAGAGCAATACTTTAACTTTCTGAAAAGTATTTCTGGATGTCAGTCTTACCGTTATGACAGACTATACCCAACTTTCCTAACAGCATTAGGAGAGGAAATCAGAACAAGTACTATCCCAAGAAAAGCTGAGGGAAGCAGGGAAAACGCTCTCTCCTGTCTGCTATTCACCTGCAAGCACAGTACCGTAATTAGTCTACAAACCGGTCACGATGGCAAAGAGAAGCACGTCACTGGTTTCAGAAAATCTCTCTCTCAATCTTCTGTCCAATAATCCTTTACTAAAGTTAACAATATTTGCCTTTGTAGGCTAACACAACTGTTTAGTGTCAGGTTAACCTACCTGATCTTCTCCTTTGAGGTCTTCTGTTTTCATCATTCACCTGTCCTTGGGTTTGCACGGGTCCTGCCTGAACTGTATCTACTGAGCAAGGAGGACAAACTTAATAACAGAGCACAAGAGCAAAAAAGAAAGTTTAGTCTGGCTATGCACCTTTGAAGGATGCGTCACAACAGAGATGAAGCGGTGCCTACGTACCATTCGTCTTACTGCTGGCCTGTGGAACCTGCCGCCCATTGCGCTGAACCCCTGGAGTGACTTTCACTGGGAGTGGCTTTTGTGAATTCATGTTGTCAACTGGGCCAGTCTGAACAGCCTGCTCCACCATGGGGCTTTTGCGGACTGGGTGAACAGAAGGAAAGCCAGCACCTGGAAAAAATCCCAATGAGTAAGAGGCTCTCGGAAAATGTGCCAACACTATTCAAACCCTACCCACTTCTATGGAGAAACCGTTTTGTCAAGAATTACTCAAAGCCTTGAGTGTTTATCATTACATGCTATGTTTAAGTGGCATATACACTAGGTAAGGAACTACTGCCATACAAATCTTGGCTCTCAAATCCAGAGCCTTAAAATCAGGAAATCTACCCATTTATTTCTTAAACCAAGTTAGACACACATTAGATAAGCAAGCCAGGTCAGTCTTAAGACAGTTTATATCAAAATCTAATTTCTAGGTGTATCCTTGGTTATGCAGGATTTTACTTTATATGATACTTTAAATCTGAAGCAAAAATCCATCATTTTGAAACTGTTCAATAAAGCTTCCCCACTTTGTCAAAAAAGTTTTGCAGCAAAAGCTTAAACACCTTAACTATATCCCATTTTGTAAGCCGCTTTTAGAAGTCCTTCAACTTCATTGCTTATTGTTAGCTTTCAGACAAAGAAAACCTGAAACCAGACCAGGATCTCAAAGTTACCCTTTCAAATTCCTTCTTGGTCAAGGCCAAAGTGTTACCAAGACTTCTGTTGCTCTTCCATCCAGGCTTATTTATTCACACTACAAAACATGTAAATACTTTTCATGGTTTGGTATACCTTACACCAATTATATTAAAAAGTGACAGTCTTCAGTACTCAGAAGAAACACTGCATTCTAGATTTAATTAGAAGTTCTGGAGTACTACAGGTTTATGTAGTTATGCGTAAGAACTGCTTGGAAGCGAACTTGAACTGAACATACTTTAAGAGCAAGGAAAGTGAAAAGCTGGAGAGAACACACAAACCAAGCCACTGACACTGCTGGGTCACCCAAGTCCACATGAGATATACCCAGTATGTAACATCATGCAGGTTCTCAGTTAATGTATACCTGGAAAACTTGCAAGGAAGACACACATATCCTAGGGATTATTCAGTAGGACAAAGCTGCTGTGCAAGTTTAACAGGAGAAAGTTTCAAAGCTTAGTCAGAATATTGAGAAAGTATGTACATATAGATGGCCAAAACCAGAGAGTAAGTAAAAACAGTTTCATGCCAACACAAGCATACATGCTTAAGTTAAAAACAGATGAAACTAATTACCATGTTTAAATGCAGGCTGCACCTGGTCTCTCTGCTCTGGGGATGGTCAGTCTAGTTTCTCTACTCAACTTCCTTTAAAAGTTTTTACACACAGAAGCAAGCACCCAGAACTATGTTATCACAGCTTACCACAACTCAGAAATTGCTTAGTTAGTCATGCTTTACTAATTGGGAGTCTTGACAAGGTACTATGCCCCATCATGCATGAAATCTATCCTGATGCTTCCTTAATTACAGCAATACTCCTGAATTTTCTATTAACCTGTGTCTTTTAACAGCAAGGCCACTCACAATTTAAGCAGTGTCCTTGTCTTTCTAGAAAAGACAAATTAACTCCTCGCCTAGTCCCTAAGGTGAAACATGTTCCTGGACAGGATGAAGCACATCAACATCCCTAAACCTCAGCCCTCTCCTGATACTTACACAAGAGGATCCAGTGTTCTGTACTTTTTCTTTCTCCTGTCTCTCTAATTGAAACTTCTAGGACAGGAGGAATACTTCATGTAATGAAAAATAGCTGAGAACAAAGTAGTTCTATTAGCATTACCCATATAAATACTATCATTCTAGGAGGGGTTAACAAGAACAGAGTGTTTGCAAGTGCCATGCAGTTCTTCCAAATATTTGGAGTCCTCAAACTGCTGTTACCCTTGGAAGAGAGCTGATGGGGCTCTGAAGACATGTCAGGCTCTGAAACAGGTTGTGGAGACGGAGAAGAACTAGGGCTGGAAGCAGCTGCTGATGCTGGAGGGCTTACCAATTTCTCTAAAGAGATAGAGGGAAGAAGAGAAAGCAAAGATATATGGATAAGATACAAGGTAGTGAAACATCTGAAGGACTTGGAAAGAGACAAGAATCTCTAGAACAGCATTAGAACAGCTTATTTATAGTCCTCTCTGGGAATACAAGTTCTTTTTACATGTGATGTGTATGTAAGGTGTGTTAGGTTAGAAACGGACTGGCCTCAAGTGTTAGGTATTCACATTACCTTCAGAAAGAAACTTCAGCTAGTCTGTCTGTTTCTTTTCTGTGTGTGTGTGTAAGTGTGTGTAAGCAAAAGGCAGGCCTCCTTGCAATAAGATCACTGCACAAAATTAACTACTTATTTGCTGCTTGTTGCAGCCTGACGCTTGGCAAGGAACGCGGCATCTGTTACTGCTATGTGGTTTCACAGTAGCTGCATACAAGGACTGTACCTTTATTCTAGCAAGTAAAGTTTTTACTTACCTAAACCTAATGAAGCTGCATACTGCTGGCTAAGTAAAGAGCTGGCAGCAAGCTGGCTGTAAGGTGGCATACCTCTAAACGGGCTGTAAGGCACATGTGGCTGAAAGGATGATGTAGAGGCAGAGCCCAGTGAAGACTGCAACAAGACAAAGTACATTTCCATTTACAGCGTCCAGAAGGCAACTTGCTTTGGCAGTGATTCTCTACTTCATGTACAGCACTACTAACACTTAAGCAAATACTGAGCAGGGTTAGTTTACCTCTATGATTTTCCTGCATTCTCAGCTAGGTAAACTAGGTCTGGCTTTTGTTGACTGAAGGCTTTAATGCTGCTGCTATTTTAAACATTACAACAAAATTCAGGATGCTTCAATCTGAAGATTCCTAGAGACACTTACTGGCCTTTATTTTTATAAGTTTACGCCAAAAATCCAATCTTTCATCACTGATGTTTTATCACAGCTTTCTATCAAGACTTCAGGCTAACTTACTTGAACAATGGCAGGATCTTGTGGCAAAGTATGTTGAGCTTTTGGAGGTTCACAGACAGTGATGTCTTTGATGTCACTTCCTCGAAAAATAATGTATTCATAGATTTCTTCTCTCGGAGGAGCAGGTCTGTCTGTGGGCCGGTCTTCAGTACCAAAGGACCGCACTTCAGCATTAAAAAGATTACTATTAGTCCAGTATTACCATTGCAGCATTGTGCAATTTAAGATTTATGCAATTAAAAAGTACTCTTGTTGTACTTGCCAAAAGTAACAAAAAAGTTACCTCCAGAACCCTGAATCTCCTTATCACACGCATCTGTTCCCTCAAATGCCAACTTTTTCAGCAGCCTGTATAAACAGTTTTGTTTACATCAAGCTGTGAAGGTAAAGACCATCAACCAGCTGGAGTGAAGAATCCTACTCCAAAACCAAAGACTTCCTCACAGTGCTATATTGCCACATTCCCCTTTCCTCCCCAGCCCCTGCCCCATGTAAGCATTCAGCTGGAGACAACTGCCACTGCAGCAGCCCGCAGAAGAGGCCCCTGAAGCAGCAGGGGAAAAAATCTTAAGCCTTTAGAGTTCAGACTTGCACCTTTGGTTTAATATATTTGGTTTAATATATTTATTATACAGATAAAGTTTTATCAATGCCAAGAGCTTCCCATTAAAATTCTCTCTACTCCATGAGACTGGTTTTATGACTAATACCCACTGACTACAAAGCAAGCTTTTAGTGACAAATCCAAAACCTCGATGCCTAATGCAGCTTTACTGAGTCCCAGCTATGAGAACACCTGAGCAGGTACTAACCACTGATGTTACACATTAGAGTGGAAAAAAAGGCTGCAACTGACCTTGTGGCAGTTACCAGCTAGAAGCGTAAGTTAATTTGAACCACTAAACAGGAAGAGGTCAGACTCAGACTTGATGGATTGTTAATGCAGGAAAACAGGTAGCATGGTTACATCAGACACTGACAAATGAAAGCTTGAAATGGGCTAAAGAACAAGCAGGGTTTACTTGTATAGAGACGTTTTTGGCCACAAGTTACAGAAGCTCATCAAGCTTACCAGTCTAGTTGTTTTCTGTCTTCCTGAAGCGTTGCCAGTTCAGATAAGCACTGGCACATACTGGTTTGATGTATGCTTTCTGGCAACACAAGAAGTCTGTGCTGGAGTTGCATCAATTGTTTTTAACAGGTTATCTTAGAAGTACTCAGCCTCTGTGCCAGGACATGCCATGACTCCTGCAGTACCTTTACAAATTACATCCTGAAGAGACCTCTACCAGCACCTGCCATGTCGGTGTGGTGATATGCCAGCCAGCTGCCACTCCCACTGCACAGCCGGAGAGACAGAAGCACAGACAGCCCTGGCACATGGATGATAGGGGACAGGGGGGTACCGCAAATTCCCCAGATATAGTGCAGAAAAAAGTGGATCCACTCAACCCCAGTGCTGAGCATCCCTGGTATACCGTACTGTTACTAACTCATTAGGAGCACTGATTGGTGTGGACAGGGCTACTCATCAAGAGTCATGATCTTGGAGATGAAAAGCTGTGTCCAGGTGGTTCCCTGCACCAAGTAGCAGTTAGTGCTGCAAACTATCTTCACCTCTGTTCAAAATGCCTGTGAGCTCAAGAGGAACAGTAAGCTCCAGGTACAGCAGGACAATGACAAACTTTGTCCCCATCATACTGATGCAGTTTAGCACCTCAGCTTATATCTAACTGGAAGGGAATCTTAACTGGTGCAAGGACAAACTGGCAGCTGCTTCCTCTGAATGACCATCTTCTGTTAGTTCCTAGGGTATATAACCTCCCCCAGTTATTTTAGATCTCCAGCTGCTGTTTGATCGTATTACAGCTGTAACCTAGTCAACAAGAAGCAGATTATAAACTGAAGGCAATGCTCACATCCTTTCAGACACTAACCACACCACTGATATCCCTGCTCAAGATTATTACAGCACACAGCTCACAGCAAGACATACTAAAACTATCCAGGGACCACTGCAGAATCCCATGGCTAGCTTGGAAGCACCACATCTTCTCTGAGCACTGAGATCAGCCTGTCAGCTTCCACATGGAGAAACACACGATCTGCAAAGCCTGAAGCGGTCCAGGCAGCCTCTCGGTTGGCTGTTCCCAAGGCTTCTAACTAAAAAGGCAGAAAACTGTGTCCTTGCTGTAGACAAAACAGCAACAAGTATATTTGAGAAGGCTCTAGGAGTTGAGCACGCCTGCCCCTGCATTTGAAGGGTTTAGCGGTTTCTGGCACATCACAAAGTACAGCTGTAAGTTTCTGTGGAGGTCCGAAGGGCTGTCTCCCATGAAGAGTTACAGTGACTATTGTTTACAGATGAGCAGGAAATCAATCCCACACTGCGCTGCAGCTAGCGTTTTACAATACAGCTTGTACTCGTGCAGGGCTCTGCTGAGCTAGACCTCTGAAGGGTCAGGAAGCATTACAAGAGTGACTGGATGTCTGGACAGCAGAGCTTACGTGGGTATTTCTTGCACAAAAACTCTAGTTTCTTCAGACTTCTACAGAAGGGGGAGTAAGTTTCTAGTGTTCACTGCCAACAGGACAGTAACAGGCTTAAACTTCCTTTGTTTGCAATTTCAGTTCAGCATCTAAGAAGACAGACAACTCTTGCAGTGGTTAATTAAGCCCATGGAATCCTCTCATCCAGTGTTTAAGATATGGTGCATGTGTTGAGATTGAACAGGAACAAAATGCAAGTCAGTTGAAGATAGCCCTGCTTCAGTAAGAGGCTGAACCAGACTCCCTCCTGAGGTCTCTTTCAACCTAAGTTTTTCTTTATATCACTTGGATGATATAAAGTCAAGAGAATAGCACTTACATTACATACTGAAGTTGTCTGACCCTTAATAATTTACTGGCTAGCTGGACAACTTCAACTGCATGGCAGTAATTCATGGTTCTTCTAACCCTTCAGAAATCGTTTTAAATTGCTGTCCCTCCTAAGCACAGGGCTGATATTACTGTCACCCACTTCAACACTGTTGCTATGTTCATAAATCTGACACTGTTTTTGATATAAAGTCTTTAAATTTAAAAAACCCTCTGAGCTAAAATGAACAGCAGGGTTTGTACTGTGAGGTTTACACAGCAGTGCTTTAAGTAGGGAAAAATGTATTCTCCATCTATTGTAACAACTACTTCTTAGGCATTCCAGTTCATCAAAACTGAACATTAAGAGACCAATAAACACAAGAACTGCCAGAAATCTTATGCAGAGCATGTACTTTCTCACACCATAAAGCACTTTAATCACATACGCCTCTGAAACACACCACTTAAGCTCTGAAGTAGCATGTGCTCTGTGGAAGCCAGAACAAGTGAGAAACCATTTCTACTTGCTGCTGGGTAAAGGCAAAGACCTTCCTGCACATACAGTAAAGGAATTGCTTCCTTCCTGCAACCTCTTAATTACTTTGAGTGAAACATAAATAGCTCTATTTGTACATTTAAATAAACAGTTACACCCCTAGAGAAAAAAGTGAATTTGTGACTTCAGAATACACACTACTAGGTGTAAAATACTCATGTCAAAGATCACATAAATGTCATTATACTGAATAATATTGTGGCACAGGCTGCCTTGAGAACAGCTGGGAATGAGGCAAGTCAGTGTCTTTTGCCAGCAGATAGCATTTCAAAACAAAAGATGTTTGGTTTGTGGATAATCCTGATGGGTTGCCGAAGGCAATGAAGAAAGTGTGAACTTCCCAGAACAGGGAAGGACAAAACTCAGGGAAAGAAAAAGCTGATGCACGTTAGTTGGAGTAGCCAAGCTGGACATTAAAAGCACTACAGAAATAACAGTCTTGTTTGAGAGACTGAGACAGGACAGTTATTTTTGAGAGTAAATACAGGAGTTCCCAACACAGGTGACAACTGAATCCGAATGACACCATTTAATAGAAGACACAGATCACTATTCCTACAGGGGAATAAGATGCAAAGCCTTGATGAGCAGCCTGCAAGGCAGGAAGAGCCAGACCCACGCACAGATACCCCGCAGCGCTCTGTACCCCAGCTCTCACCCTCTTCACCTGAGCAGAGTCCAGCTATTGACCATGAAAGGAACAAAGACACACCAGCAGCAGCTCTGCTCTCCCCAGCACCGGCCCTGCTCCAGCCGAGCACCCAGACACCGCCGGGCATCCACAGCCACAGCAGAGGGGAACCAAACCCCAGCTGGGGCACAGACCCTCACCCTTCTGGCTCTGACAACAGTGAGAGGAGCCAGCACTGCTGGCAGCTCCTCTTCCTCCTCAGGGGAAGAGCCTCCCACGAAACCCAACGGCTCCTCAGCATCCCGGCCCTCCGGGATGCACCGCAAGCCCCGCCACGGCCCGTGCCCGTCCCCGCACCGCGGAGCGGCCTCCCAAATGCTGACTCACGGAAAGCCAGCAGCGCCGAAGGCACCGGGGCTCGCACCCCGCCGCCCCCATT